TTGTCTCCTTCCTTTTATTGTTTTGTGAGAGAGGTATCATCCCATATATAGTTTAATTGGACATGAAGTGGCCTGGTGATGGTAAACCAATTAGGGGAAGCTAAACAATAAGGCCAAAATAAACATATTAAATGCTAAGAAAATTGTGGATGTGAGAGAGCAAGCTCAAGGAAAGTAGACATCATCTTCTCTAGAAGAAGTAGGTTACCAAACTCCCAAACAAATGCGGCTTTACCCTCACAATTTCTTTTCGATATTGAGATTGAGGTGATCTCTTTTGGTTCATGCGTCCAATTTCTGTCTTTATCTGCAATACTTAATTAATAATAGCTTGACCTAGTTCTTTAAATATTAATTAAATGACGAATCTCTTGATAGCTGTTTACAATGTGGTTTATAAGTGAAGTTAAACTAACTAATACCAAAGGTTGGTTGAGTGTATTTTTTCTTTTTTTAAAATTCAAAAAAGAGAGAGAGACTAATGAAAGTGCACATAGTATTTCTTAAGATTCACATATTAATGTTATTTCATATCATTACAAGGTGATGACATTTTCTTTTTAGGCTTAACAAATGTGTTTTGCAGTATGATAGTGGCCATCCTGTGAATGTGAGTATATTATTTAATAATTAATATTTTATAATCTAATATAATTAAACTAATAAAACACCGGACTATTATTAGTTGGACACCACTTTGCCACTTCATTAGTTTCTCTGTTGGGCCTAATGGGTTGGCTAAGAGAGCCCAATAAGCAGACTTTTTTGCGTACGGGTTCGATTCTTTCGAATCAATGAAAATTGGGTGGAAAAATCCATTACCCAAAACCTGTGATAATTAGAAGGCACCAAGAGTTGAGCCTAAAATAAGGTCCACTAGACCCAACAGCGCCGGCCTATCTTTGATTTCTGAGTAATTCTACCGCAAAGCTCAAGCACAATTAACTGGCTAACTGTTGACAATCAGAATTGGACTTCAATGCTAGTTGCGAGACGTCAAAGTTCAAACCCAATGAGCCTGATCCCATTTTCTTAATTCGCTCGAATTAGAATCCAATCTTGTCCCGCACCAATTCCAGTTTTCCCAAAAATCCGAATCGCATTTCACGCCTCTTCGTCGTTCTGTTTGGGTTGAGAAAAATGAAAAAAAAAAAAAACAAAAAAAAGGGAAAAAATTATATTTTTTTTATTTTTCTTTCCATCATTTTCTTCATTTGGATAACTAAATAAATTAAAAAATAAAATAAAATAAAATATTCTCTTATCTTTATCTCTAATTTTTTTAATAATCAAATAAAAAAAATTTTTCATCTCTATTTTCTTCAACCTAATTATATTGTAAAACAAGACTACTATAAAGTTGTGAAATCTAGCCCAAATCCCAATTCTCATATCACTAGTTGCATCAATCCCATCTTTGAAATTTGGCCCAAATTTGTCTTTCTCGTATAGGCCCAAATTTGATTCATAAGAAGAAAACTCTACCGTAGTTACATTTTGTAAAACTTTTGACACACATGCTGTCAACTCCACTCAACTCGCAGATAAGAAGAAAACTCTCGCCTAACTAGACTTTTATAAAACTTTGACACAATCTGTCAACTCCACTCAACTTGCACATCTTTAACTCGTAAACTCGTTTAACCCCTAATATATTTAGATATTAGGTAGGGTCAAAATGCCATACATCGTGAATGAATAGGATAATAGGTTGTATTCCTCCATTCATTTCAAGATAAATTAATAGTAAAAAAATATTTTATAAATCAGATTATACATTAAAAATATAATTTAACTTATAAATTTATTAAAATATATTTAATAAAATTATTTTTTATGCTATTTCATTAATAATAATTTAATAATTTTAATACATAAATTATATTTTTAATGTACAATTTATTTTGTAAAACATAAATCTGAGTGGATAAATAGTGTATGCAAATGGGTGCAAAATATCTCATAACTGTGAAATAAGAAAGCAAATAGAATGGAAATCAATACATATAGGTAGAATAGGTGAAAGCATGACTATTGCAGGAATGCCAAAAAAGGCGAAGTTGTAACGGAGGCAGCATCACTTTTGGTTACAAATAATAGTGAAGCGAGAAAAAAATGAAAAAAAAAAAAAAAGGAAGGGGAAGTGGGCAGGCGCAGTGAGTAAGGACGACCACACGCACCAATTTTCCCAGTTCCCATGGGGTGTGGGTTGGGATAGCGTGTCCGTTTCGCAAAGAAGATGGCCGCAGCAGGTGAGCGGGAGCGCGCGTTTCTGCATTTTGCGCGCCAAAGCGTGTTCTTCAGGCTGCTTTCTTAATCATACAACTTACACCCAGCTCTATTATTTATATTTACTTTTTGCCCCTTCCTATGTCTTGTATAAAAATATAATATACTCTATCCTACGGTATATTTTTAAAAAAAATTAGTATGTATCAATTTTATTTTTTTTTAAAAAATTAAAATCTTAAACTACATTTAAAAATTAAAATTTTAATTCTAAATTCATTTTTTTTAAACGTGGATACTTAGATTTGGAAACTAATTGTATATTTTAATATAATCAGTATTTAAATAAAAATATCAACATTTAATAAAATAAATTTTTAAATTTTGAATTAAGTTTTAATTAAATAAAATGAAGTAATTTAAAGTTGAAACTCAAATTTAATTTTGAGAATCGAGATTGATATGCATTTTTTTATTTAACTTTTTGCGCATAAAGGATTTTACCCTTGATTTTACAATTTATAAGTTTTTACTCTCCAATCTTTCAACTTTAAGATAATAAAGCAAATATTTAATGTCGCATGATCACGTGTAGCACGTGGCCGTTAGTCCTCCGTTACTTATGCCACCTCAACACCACTAAGTGCCACATGAGCACCCATATTACATGCTGACATTGCTGGCTTGAAGCACAAAAACCCATGTTTTGTTCTTTACATTATCGACCTTGAGGGTTTTTGCCCATCGGCTTACAATATATGGATTTTGCATTCCAACTTATCAATTTGAGCAAATGAGGCAAAATTTAATGTTCAATGGTCACATGCAACACGTTGGCCTTAAAGCTTCACACAACAATACATTAGCACCACATGGAATCATTTTAACACATTGGCAATGCCAACTTGGGCCCACATCTATTTTCAATATGGTTCAATGCATTCTCAATTTTTTTAATAAAAAAAAATGAAACTACCATTCTTCTTCCTCTTAACCATTCTACCCCCATCATCTTCTAAACTTCCCATTTTGAACTTTCTCTCTAAATTAAACAAATTGATGGAAAATGAAAGCTAAAGGTGAGGATAATTGAAGTAAAGGGGAGAAAACATGAATTAATTTATTTAATTGAAATTAATCAATTTAAAATTAATTTATTATTTGATAATAAAGTTAATTAAAATTTATAATAATTATTTTAGAATAATATAATTTATTTAAATATAATGGATCTCATAATGTCTTATTGTTTTTGTTGTTAAAAAAATTGTGAGTGTAGTGGGTCCATAATCAAAATAGATGAGTGGGTCCAAGTAGGCATTGCCAGTATGTAAAAATGATCCAATGTAATAACTCTAAGGCCAACGTGCTACATGTGACCATTAAAATTTAAATTATGCTTCATTTGCTTAAATCGATAAACTAAAAGGACAAAAATTCATACATTGTAAGTTGAAGGGCAAAAACTCTTAAGGTCGATAAGGTGAAGGGCAAACATGGGTTTTGTCTTGCAAGCTACCAATGCCAACATGTAAAATAGGTATCCATGTGGCACTTAGGTGGTGTTGACATGGCATGGGTAATAGAGGACTAATGGTCATGTGCTGCACATGACCGTACGACTTTAATTGTTGCCTTATTATCCTAGACCCAAAAAAGTTGAAGGGCAAAGTGAAGGTTTTTGCCCCTCCACTACACTGGGCTTTTTTCCACTGGTTAAATACTCAATTTGGTTCCTCAACTTTCATTTTTGAACCAAATTTATTCTTAAACTTTAAAAAGCACCAAAAAGTCCTCAAACTTCAATTTTTGGGACCAATTTGGTCCCACCATTAACCGAATTGACAATTGTCACGTTAAATTACCAAAAAATCACACCTTTCTTTAAAAATAACGATGAGGAAAAAAAAAAACATGACTGGCATTTTTTTCTTTCTATATGGCGTTTTAACCAAATTTTAATCTCTAACCCTAATACTCACCATTTGTACATTTTATAAACACTATAAACTATAAATCTAATCTCCAACTCCAAGCTGTCACACCTTTAACCCTCATTCACTGCCAACTCCTCCTTCAACATTAACGGTGATGACAACAGCAACGGCAACGACCAATAGCGATGACTACAACAAAGACGACAACGACATGGTTCTCTTCCTCCCTCCTCCTTCTTGTCTTTCTCTTTCTCCCTCCTCCCATGGCTTTTTTTTTTTTTTTTGGAACAGCTTTCTCTTCTTCCTTACTATTGAGTCAATGTACTCCAAGAAGGGGGGTGAATTGGAGTTCCAAAAATTCTCCCCTTTTTGCAACCACAAAACCAAAAATAAAGAGAATAGAGAAGAAGAGCTTATTCAATGATTTTATAGAGGTTTAGTCCAACCACTTGGAACCTAGTCCTCTACCTTGGCTTCACTCACCAAGGATTTCCTCCACACTCTCCACTAACAACAACAAGGGTGGCTTAAAGGAGCCACTCAATCCTTATACAAAAAGAAGGGTGTTTCTCTCAAATCTCACCCCTTTACACTTAAACCCTAAGAATCCTCTCTACAAATCACTCTTGAAGGATTAATCACATCCCCAAGATCACTCACAAATAGAATAATAAGAGAATTACAAGTAAAGATCTCTCAAAGATCAAAAACTCAAGTTAAAGCTCGTGTAGGTAGGTAAAGATATTCAATGCAATGCTCTCTAAACTTCTTCAGATCTATTACCAACCATATTTATAACCCCTTGCTCGAAAATAGCCATTTCTAACCATTGGGAGTCATTAAATGCTCTGCAGGACGCAAAGGTCAAGTTGCAGGATTGTTAGGAGAGCCGGCTCAGCTTCCTAGAGCCAGCTCTGTAGAGTCGGCTTACCATTTCTATAGCCGGCTTTGCGAGATTGCTGCACATTCTGTTTTCTTCCACAGTCAGCTGCAAAGTCTAGAGCCAGCTTTGGGATCCCAACTTTAAACACATTAAATAATCTTCAAATAACTTGACCGTTATGTATTAAATGCACCCTCACAGCCAGCTGTAAAGTTGGAGCCGGCTTTGCATCTTTTCTCCCCGCGCGCCAAACAACGGTCTTCAAATTTTTGCCCGTAGAGCTGGCTGCAGCTTCCAGAGCCGGCTCTCTGCACTTCCATTTCATCAGAGCCGGCTGCAAATTTCAAGAGCCGACTCTCTACAAAAATTCAAGCCTTTCTGGTCTATTTTGAAGTGCAGTCCAAGTTTAATTGCAATCTTTTAGCAACTTAACTATACACTTAAATAAACCAGTTAGTCACTCAAATGTGTTTTGTAATAATCAAAATCATAGGTACAACACTTACTCACCCTCCTTTCTCTAAACCCCTTCATCTCCAAATCTCATTGTCCCCTTCATCTTCAAATCCAATGGCTTCTTGACAAGAGCTTCACTCTTCTTCTTCTTCCTCCTCTCCTTCCCCTCTTCTTCCACTTCCCTCCACCTTGATCTATTGAACACTATTGAACAAGAGAACCTAGATCTAGGTTTTCCTTGTGAGTTAATCTAGGTTCTCTTAAAGAACCCGTGGGTTCTCCATCCAATCTGAGAAAGGAAAAAGATGGGAAGGAGAGGGAAGGAAAAAGAAAGATGAAGAAGATGATGAATTTAGGTTTTTGGTTAGAATTTTTACCATTAATATATGGTTTGTGTTTGATTTGGTGACTCTTTTTTTTCTACAAAAGTATAGTTTGATTAGGTGACTTTAGGAATTGGTTATATAAGAGTAATAGATTTTGAGGAAAATAATGTTAGTGTTGAGGACAACTTCTGGGTATTTGATGGATGAGTAAGTTTAGGGTTTACAGAGGTAGGGGAAAAGAATATTTTTGGTACTTTTTCTAATATTCTTCCCTCAAATCTGCAGTTCCCCAAACAAATGAGCAAGAGCAAGGTTCCTCTTCTAGAAGATCAAATCTAACCTACATCTGCAAGAATATTAATTTGAAAAGAGAAAAAGTTCATGCTTGCCTCAACAAAAAAAATCCAAAATTTTGCTTTAGATTTGTGGGTATATGCAAATGGATGGTAAAATCTTTCTTCAAGTAGGTATGCCCAGTGATTTTCAAACAAAAATTTCAAATTTCCATGAAGATTAGCAAAATACAAGAATGGGAATGGGAGATGAGAAATGAAACAAAGATGAAGAATTGAAGAGAAGCTTAAGGAGATTGGGAGAAGAGAGAGGGATTAGTGAGGTTGAAGATGAGGGTACTTTGGTAACTTCAATAAATATTAAAATAATAAAATGTGTTAAAATCACATAATATATAGGAATAATTGTGTAATTTAAAGGATAAAATGTCAACTCATCACTTTTTCACATTTTTCTTCAACGTCATTAGTTGAAAATAAAAAGAATGATTTCGGGGCAACTTAACATAATATTTGGCACTTCCGTCAATGGAAAGACCAAATTAGTACCAAAAATTGAAGTTTGAAAATATTTTTGAGGTTTTTTAAAGTTTAAGGATAAAGGTTAAAACCCCACTTTGGTTCCTCAACTTTGGTTAAAAACCCCTTTTTAGTCTCTCTACTTAAGAAATTCCTTCTTCAGTTTCTCTTCTTAAAACAATCCATTTTTAGTTCTTAAAGTTTGAAAAATGGCGCCTTTTTAATTTTAATCCATGCATTAAGTTTTGCATACATATCACATTAAATAATGAAAATTTGGAAATAGATGGACCAAAAGGGGCTTTTTTATCTCATTCTTGGTCTCTCTACTTTGGCAAAAAACCCCTTTTTGGTCCTTCTACTTTGATAAAAAATCCATTTTTGGTCTTTTTATTTTTTAAAAAAACCCCATTTTAGTGGCTCTATTTTGAAATTTTTGTTAAGATAATGTGCAATAAGACAAAAAATTATTGGAGGGACTCAAAAGGGGTCTGATTTCAATCTTTAGGGACCAAAAACGGGTTTTCTTAAGTTGAGAGACTAAAAAAGAGCTTTTTGCTAAAGTAGAAGGATCAAATTGAGATTTTAACCAAGGATAAATTTGGTTCAAAAATGAAACTTGAGGGACCAAATTGGGTATTTAAACTTTTTCGCAGGTTCACAGTTCAACATTGAAACCTTCTGCAAAATCACCAATGGGTCAAGCCAGATAGTTTTAGGCTAAAGCATACTAGCTTGCAAGCTGAAAATTGAAGCTTAATGAGCGATAAGCTATTGTTGGGCTTTGAAACTACAAAATCGCAAACTAGACTCAAAAAACCAATAGCCCATTAAATATTTTCAATTTTTTACCACTCAACTTTTGGGAACCTTTATTACCTCCTGCAATTTTATTCTACCTTCCAAGATTTTTGTAGCAAAAAATTTTATGTTAAAATACCAATTTTTTTCCTCAACTTTTAGATTTATACCAAAATTATTTCTCAACTTCAAAAAGTACCAAAATTGTCTCTAAACTTTAATTTTTAGTGCTAAAATAGTCCTCACACTTTGAAAATAATACTAATTTAGTCCTTAAACTTTGAAACAAATGCCAACTTAATCCTTGAACTTTGATTACAAATACCAATTTAGTTTTTTAACTTTAATTATATATCAATTTAATATGTAAATATTAAAGGCTTTCCCCCTATTTGCACCCTCCATTTATTTTATTTTCACGGTCAACACCTTACAATATTTTTCTTCCCTATTCACACCCTCTACTTTTTCAAATCCGCCAAAAACCCAATATTTTAAGTGACCGTAACGAAAACGTTAATAACCGTTAAAAATTGTAATACGTGGCACCAAACAGTAGCATGAACGTTATATCACCTTATTAATCCAATGTGGACTTTTTTTTAATGACGTGGCATAATTAAATCATAATTAATTTTAATTTCTTCATTTTCTTGTTTCCCGACATGTCTTTACCATCTTCCTCCTCATCCTCCTGGGTTCCTCATTGAACTAGGAACCCACAACGTTATGTCACATTTATTAATCCAATGTGGACTTTTTTTTTTTTTATAATGTGTTATAATTAAATCATAATTAATTTTGATTTCTTCATTTGCTTCTTTCTCGGCATCATCTTCACCATCCTCGTCCTCATCCTCCTGGGTTCCTCGCAGAACCCAGGTTCTCAATTCCTTGTGGAACCCAATTTCACATAAATGCCTACCAAGCTAAGATCTTCATGCACACAATTATAAGTAAATGAATACTACACAAAAACATGATATGCATCTTCCACCCCTTTCCCACAAAAAACGAAAAAATCGTTATTGCCATTCATGTTAATCCCAGTTGAACTCAAATTGGCAACCTGTTCTAAAACAATCTCCAAGCAAAAAAACTCACCTTTCAAACAAAAAAATTATTCCAAATTGCTTTGCATAAAATAGGAAGCTAAGATAAATACATTCAAATAAAAAAATGAAAAAAAAGGTCAAAACCCATAATCTGGGTTCCCCGTGCAGGAACCTAGAAACTTGGTTCCCTGCGCAGAACCCTAGGTTCCTCACGAGGAACCCATTGAGAAGAGGAGAAGAGGATGGTAAAGATGGAGGATGGTGAAGATGATGCCGAGGATGAGGGAGATAAGGATGAGGGGGAAAGAAAAAGATGAAGAAATGCCACATCATCAAAAAAAAAGTTCATGTTGGATTAATAAGGTGATATAACGTTCATGTTACTGTTTGGTGCCACGTATTATAATTTTTAACAGTTATTAATGTTTCCGTTACGGTCAGTTAAAATATTGGGTTTTTGGCGGATTTGAAAAAGTGGAGGGTGTGAATAACGAGGAAAAATATTGTAAGGTGTTGACCATGAAAATAAAATAAATGAAGGGTGCAAATACAGGGTTTGACCAATATTAAATAGAAATATATCATGATGGCAAAATACGACAATTTAATTTTATACATAATTAATATTTTAAAAAAAAAAACTAATTTTGTGGCAACGTAACGAATTATGTGACACTTTTGTTAATGGAAGGACCTTTTTTGGTATTAAAAATTAAAGTTTAGGGGTAATTTTAGTATTTTTTAAAGTTAAGAGACAATTTTAGTACAAATTTAAAAGTTGAGGGACCAAATTAATATTTTAACCAAAATTCTAAAATAAACCCAACTATAAAGTATAAATATTGAAGGCCTTTTCTCCATTCTCCATCTCTTCTCTCCAGTCTCTAATTTTAGAAGTGCAGTTCTTCTTCATCATCACCCATAAATAAGAGCAACCCAATTGGAGATTCTTAATTTTCTTTTTATTTTTCAAATGATAATGATAATTCCTTTTGTAATTAGAATTTCTCTATACTTTACTCTCTTTTTTTTTTTTACAACAAATGCTAACCTTTCTTCAAATTTGTATATGGATTTTCTTTTAATTTTCTCTCTAATTACAAAGCTTGACCTTTATTCCGTAATAGAAATTTGTCTAGGTCTTCTTTTATTATTATTTTTGTAATAACAAACCAAAACCTGATATTTTGTGATTCAAATTTCTATATGAGTTCTTATATATATATATATATATATGTATATGTATATATACACTTATTATTTTGACAAACGCTAACCCGTATCATTGTATTTTTATTTTAAGGAGATTCATCACATTATAAAGGAGGATCAAGCAACAAGGAATCTTACTATGAACCTTAATGCTAGTAATTTTGGTCCTTTTTTTATATATATATTCTAGGCTAGATCCTTAATATTAGATTTGTAAACTCAATTTTCAAGAACTTGTCAAATGATCATCTATTTAATAATTTTTTTTCTTGAACTCGGATTTATATGCAAGATGATCTTCATAAGGAGGATATTGATGTTATTCCTATAGAAAATTTAGAAGATAGCCCGATAGCAAAAGACAAGGGAAAAGGGAGGAATCAAGATTCTGAAGCATGCCAAACTTTAGTGGTATGGCAACACCTTACTAAGTTTTTGGAAAAAGGCAAAAAGAAGGGAAATGTAACTATTGTGCAAAGATTAACTGTGCAAACTCTAGGCTTAATGGCACCTCTTCAATGAGGAATCATATACTTGCAAGTAAAAAGAACCTTAACATGTTAAAGAGTCAAAAGTTGCTTAGTTTGAAACAGTATTATGTTGTTGGAGATGGTGAGGAAGGACAAGAAGTCACTCAGTTGACCTCTTGGAAGTTTGATGAAAGGGTTGTTAATAGGGTTTTGGCTAAAATGATTATAAATGATGAGAATCCATTTACCATTGTTGAAAAATTTGGATTCAAAAGATTTTGTGAAGTTGCTTTGGCCCCTAGTTTCAAGCTTCCCTCTAGAAGGTTTATAACCAAACTTTGTTATAAAATCTATCTTGAGGAGAGGGTAATTCTTAAAATCTATTTTAAGGAATCAAAGCAAAGAATCTCCTTAACCCTAGATAATTGGAGCTCATCAACCCAATTATCTTATATGAGTTTAATTGCCCATTTCATTGATGACAATTGGAGGTTACACAAAAAAAAAAAAAAACCTTAACTTTTTCCCTGTTGATTCTCCTAAGGGAGAAGAGTTAAGTGACTTAGTTGAAACTTGTTTGAGGGATTGGGGACTTTAGAAGGTATACACAATAACTGTTGATAATGCATCTTCTAATGATGGAGTTGTAAGGGTGCTTAAGACTGCTTTAAACAAGTGAGGTACAAGTGTTCTAGGTTGGGATGAACTGCACATGAGGTGTGCAACATATATCATTAATTTGGTTGTGAAAGAAGGAGCCAAACTGATGAATAATTCCATTGCTTCTGTGGGAGCTACTTGCAAATACATTAGGCAAAGTTCTCAAAGAAAATTGAGGTTCGAGGCTTTGAGGTTCAAGGAGGTTGTTGAGGTTGAAAAAGTTGACTCCAAGAAGCTGTTGTCCTTAGATGTGCAATATAGGTGGAATTCTTTGTACTTAATGCTTGATATTGCAAAGAAGTTTGAAATGGCATTTGAAAGGTTAGTTTTATCTATTTGAGAAGTTTACTTGGCTTATTTTCATGTATTGTCATCATTATATTAAATTAATTATATTCCTTTTATATTATTTTGTTATTAAGAATTATAATCATTCTAACAATTTAGTTTTTGTCTTATATTTTCATATACTGCAGTTTTTTGTTGTACAATTTGAAGGTATTCAAGGTATGATTTAGCCATGAGGATTGAATTGAATTCTAGTCCAAGTTTCCCATCTTGTATCAATTAGCAAAATAAGAGGACGCTTGTGACATTTCTGAAACCAGTTTATTTCTTGACAAAGAAAGTCTCTAAAGTTTGTATACCACTTCAAACTTGTATTTCCCATAAATCTGTGAAGTGGATAGGCTTCTTAAACTGTGGAAAAAGGAGGCTGATTTAAGTCAAATGGTTACCAAAATGCAGGATAAGTTTGACAAGTACTAGGGTGATCCTTTGAAGATGAATAAGAACATCTTCTTTGCTATAGTTTTGGACTCAAGGCACAATCTTGGCTTTGTGCAATTTCTAATGGTAAGGATGTTTGGTGAGGTTAAGGGCAGAGCTTATGGGGAGATGGTGAGAGCTGAATGCTTCAAGTTGTTTGAAGCAAATACGAGCTAGCACTATTCTAACAATAAACTGGAAAAGTTTGGTGTTTTACAAGTTATAACTACATTAGATAGTAAAATATCAATCAATAAGATAATATATATCTTCATTGTGTGTGTGTATATACATATCTCATCACCTTCTAATGATATGAAATAACATTAGTATGTGAATCTTGAGAAGTGTCATTTGCATTTGGAACCTCATTAGTCTCTCCTCCCTTTTTATTCTTTTTTTTTTAAAAGAAAAATATACTCAACTAACCTTTGGTATTAATTATTTTAACTTCACTTATAAACCACATTATGAACAATTATCAAGAGATTTTGTCATTTAATTAATATTTAAAGAACTAGGTCTAATTATTAATTAATTATTACAAATAAAGATAGAAATTGGATGCATGATCCAAAAGAGATCACCCAATGTCAATATCGAAAAGAATTGTGATGGTAAAGCCGCAATTGTTTGGGAATTTGGTTAACCTTCTTCTTCTAGAGAAGATGATGTCTCGGTTCCTTGATCTTGCTCTCACATACACAATTTTCTTAGCATTTAATGTGTTTATTTTGGCCTTATTTTTTAGCTATTCCTAATTGGTTTACCATCACCAGACCACTTGATGTCCAATTAAACTACATATGGGATGGTGCCTCTCTCACAAAACAATAAAAGGGAAGGAAACAAAGGATATGTTTGGTGCAAATTATGAGAAGAGCTTTTTGGCTCTAAAAGCACAAGCTGCACCAAACAGGTCAGCTTCCCAAACTTGCTACAGCTTTTGAGAAGCTGAGCTTCTCGCTGTTCCTTTGCAAAGTTCGGAAGCTCCAATTTCTTACTTCCACGGGAGCTTCTCGCTCCATGTTTAATGAAATTTAATGAAATTGACATGGTCTTCCCATTTTATCCTCACACTTCCTTTTTTTTTACAAAAAAACTAGTATATAAAGGACCAATTTATAACATCACACCGACCAACCCAGTAACAGTTGTTTCTTCTTCTTCATCCAATCAGAGAAACAAATCGAAAATACTCATCCAACAATCAGAGAAACAAACCAAAAATATCCAATCAGAGAAACAAACCAAAAATATCCAATCAGAGAAACAAATCGAAAATACTCATCCAACAATCAGAGAAACAAACCAAAAATATCCAATCAAAGAAACAAATAAAAAATACTTACCATATTCTTCCTCATTTTCTTTCCCCCTAAATCGAAAATCCCCTCATCTTCCGTTCGGAGACGAACCCAGGAGCTGGGTTCGTAACAAACCCCGCGCTTGGGTTCCGAGGCGAACCCAATGCCTGGGTTCCGAGGCGAACCCAATGCCTGGGTTCCGAGGCGAACCCAGCGCCTGGGTTCTGAGATGAACCCAGCGCCTGGGTTCTGAGATGAATCAGGCGCAAGTTCGTCACAAACCCTTCCCCTGGGTTCGTCACAGAACCCAGGCTTGGGTTCGTCGCAGAACCCAGCACCTGGGTTCAAGATGAACCTAGGAGTTAGGTTCCGTTCGCACGAACACA